CAACACGTTGGCATCCAAAGTACATTGCTAAAAATGGACCCCCATACAGAGTTATTAATTTCACAGGCTGGCAAGCCAAGAACAGGTTGCTTGTAGACTCTGCACAGAGCCTTACCAACCTAAAACACAAGTGCATTGCTTTTGACGATGCATATTCCATGATGGGTAAGGAAGGCATTCTTGTCAGAATGACCTAAGACAGGTTCAGTCTTGTTTATGAAATAAAAATGGGGAGATGTGGAGAGCTTCTGGGGCTGCTTGGAAGGAATCTGACATTGGCCAAGGACAAGGAAGTAGGCTTCAGGCAGGAATCTGATATTAGGCTAGAACAAAGAAGTAATTTCAGCCAGAAATTTAAATCTTAGGCTAGATCAAAGAAGTGATTTCAAGCAGGAATCTAAATTTTAGGCTAGAACAAGGAAGTAGGCTTCAGACATGAAAATGACTTTGGGCTAGGACAGGGAAGTCAGCTCAGATATTTTGGTCATCCTGATAAGACCTTAGAAACAGTGATCACGGGAGTGATCATGGAACTTTGTTTATTGCCTTGCTTGTTCTTTGACTGTTTGCATCTATTGTATTGCTAGGCCCTCAACCTAGAACTGACCTTAATACATGCATGTAATTAAAATGGTATAAGAGCAGACTTGGAAAAAATTTAAAAAAAAAAAGAAGAGAGATGAAAAGTGGACATATTTAAGAAGTTGCAAGTTTGCATTTTTGGGAAGGACAGATCAAGGAGCAGTGATTATGGGAAGGGAAAGCAAATGACCTCATAAAAGGATAATTATTGCCTCCTTTGCTTTTTTAGTATGGCTTAATTGGAAGCATCCTCCTTTCTGAGAAGGGGTCCTTTGGCCTCTTGGCTGACCCAACTGGATTGATCCCAAAGTAGAGCAAAAGGGTAGCTTGTTGCCACTCAGAGGGAGATTTCATTGTTTTGGCAAGGAGAGATCAGCCAAAAGCTACTGTGACAGAACTACACAAAAGGCTTAGGTGTAGAGAGAGAGTGGATACCCACTCAAGTACAAATAGAAGTTTCTTGTTTACAGTTTGTTAAAGCAAGGGAGTGAGACAACATTATTCATGTTTGCCAGGGATTCAAGGAGAGCGGTTTCTGATGGAATTTTTTAAGCACCTAAGGCTTCAGGGGGTAATAATGGGAATTTCTTGAGATGATGGAACTCTAGACAGGGCATAGTATGTCATAGAATAGGGAGATTATTCACCTTTATTTAAAGTCGAGTTCATTAAGAGAAAGTGGGGTCACCCCGGTACTCAGGCCTGCCTGCTACACTTCTTGGCAGCATCTTGATAGTTCTCTCTGATCCTTCTCTGCACTCATTTAGAGTCCTAGTCCTAGACTTTGGAAGAAAGTGCATGGAAAAAAACTGGGCCATTCTTGCCTCAGAAAGATGTTACTTGATAGGTAGGGTCCAGAATTGTGGCCAGAACTGGAAATCTCACAGATTTCAAAACAGCATCCAGGTTTGGAGGTGAAGGCTTGAAAATAAATGGCCACTGGGGAGCAGGGAGGGATGGAGGAGGACAAGTCTGGGATTCAGAGCAGGTTTCTAGTCACAGCTTTACACACAGTGAACACACAGACCCTGTCCATGCCCTGTCTGCAGATCTGAGCCTGTTCTTCCCTGATCCCTAGGACACTTGAACAGGGGAGGGGGTGGGATGGTTTGTATATGCTTGGCCCAGGGAGTGGAACTATAGAAGGCGTGGCCTTGTTGGAGTAGGTGTGGCACTGTGAGTGTGAGCTGTAATACCCTCATCGTAGCTGCCTGGAAGTCAGTGGTCCACTAGCAGCCTTCAGATGAAGATGTAGAACTCTCATTTCTTCCTGAACTATTCCTGCCTGGATGCTGCCATGCTCCCACATTGATGATAATGGACTGAACCTCTGAACTTGTAAGCCAGCCTAATTAAAGGTTGTCTTTTTAAGAGTTGCCTTGGTCATGGTGTCTGTTCACAGTAATAAAACCTTAACTAAGACAGGTCAGTGCACAGCAGCAGCAATAATAGTTAAGTATGATTAAAGTGCAATTTTTCTTTTCCTCTTAATATCTCTCAATTCTGTGTGATGGTTGAAGCAAGAAGTGTAAGTGGTGTGATATGGTCCTCTTAAGATATAGAGTAAATGTATTGGAGACTTTGTTATTACAAAGTGGGGTTATAATGGAACAATATACAAAATGACACCAGAAAGAGCTAGACACACAGCAAACACCACATGTGAAGACCACTAATCGAACACCTACTCTGGAGTTCTGGGACACACGATGTAAAAGAATTACTCCAAAGTGCCTTGGTCACTCCTTCTGTTTGAGATGGCAGGGTGTTTTTACACATGCAATCACATTTAACCTCAAAAGACTGCTGATGAACATAAGACAGGATATGGATAACCTATTGATAAGGTAAGGAAGGTGGAAGAGAACCAACCTACTCAGAACGAGCCCACATTCTTTCCATCCATTCTGGCTGAGAGACTCCACAGCACACTGCATTCTTCTCAATGAGCTAATGCTTCTAAGATGCAGAGATCAAAAGCTAATCTGACACACTGGAAGGAAAAACATAGGGAAATACACACATGGAAAAGCTGATACCAGGAGGAGAAAGCACCTAAAATCCAGATGATGGAATAATGGTGGCTTGTCTGAGCAGACTACTTCAGTGAAAGGTGTACATGATCCCTTTACTCTTCCAAGCTGATAACAGAATCCTAAACACACCCAGCAATGCCAGGGAATGCATACACACAGTGGAAATGTGAGCTTGTCCATTTACTCTTACATTTCCCTCCCTTTCTATATAGTACACACAGGCACAGAGTGAAATGTTCAGACTCAGGAAATTCTCCAGAGGCATCAGATGAAGACACAATGAATTCCACTGGCCAATACTGGGACAAGCTGAGCTCTAAACTATAGAATGGCAATATGAGCTGGTAACAGTGTGGAAAATGGGTATTCTGAGCCATACTAAGATAAATCAATATGGAGAATAAAGAATCAATGTACCAAACACCAGATCACCATTGAAGAAGCAGGAAAAGAATTATAACACTAGCATCATATTATCCTAGCAAGACATGATTTAACTAACTTTCATGACTATATTAATAGTCTCTTCCAAATCCCACAGGAGTCATTTAGGCATCAATGTTATGACACTACGCAAGCAATGCAGAGGGTAGAAAGTTGTATACCACATGTGTTCCTCATATACACTTATATCTGTGAATGGCATGAGCTCATTATTTAATCCTTAATGTCCCACACAGAGAATATTCCTGGAAACTTCATACACACACACACAAACACACACACACACACACACACACACACACAAAAGTATGTATACAACATCACACATACAAATGCTGATACAATAACATAGCTGTCACCTCAATGGGAAGAAGAAGTTTATTCTGGAGTCAAAAATGAATGAGACAGATGTAGGTTATTACAAATTCCATGGTACAACTTGGAAGCAGTTTCATGAAGGGTTTATACTAGCAGAGCAGATAAGCTACAAATCAAACACTTCTTATATACACTGATGGAAGTGTTAACTAGGGCAAACCTCAGCTGTTGGCATTGGCTGCTATCTGATGGCACTTTCAGATTTTTTTCTTGGTAGAAAGCTATGGTTTTCTTAAGATAATATAATGTTAATTTTAAAAAATGTGTTACCATACCAGATAAAATGTTATTTATCAGTGATAAGATGTTAGGTGATTCCAACACAGAGGGGCCAGGGAATGGATACTTCTGGGCTAAAGAGAGCATAGATAAATTTTAATTAGGCTCTGGGCCTGCAGTTAATTTTATAAGAGGTTTATTATCGACATTAACAAGGTAAGAGTACAGACAGAACCATGGTAGGGGTTCTGAGGTGACATAGGGATCATGTGGTTTTGTGGGTACCACAAAAGAATGCAACTTAAAGTTTCCAAGTAATCTAAAGCACACAGGTGTCCCACAATTGTAATCCCTTCACTAGGAAGCTGAGGTAGGAGGATCATTGAGAGTTCTATGCCAGGCTAGGACATAGTGAAACACTGTCTCAAAATAAAGCAAAACTGCAAGCTAAAAAAAAAAAGACAGACAAAAGAAAGTCCTCTAACCAACTGCATATGTAAACAGTCATCTGAGACATCTATACAGGACAATCATAGACTATTGTTTAGGCTTTACCACTTAAAGTCCCACCTCTCATATCCATTCCACAGAAGAATGGGAGAGTGCACACTATATTCTGTCCTATCTCCCCAGCTCCCTTCGCTCTCCAGAACACTCTGGCAATGGCTCCAGTGTAGCCTAGTGCAGAGCAGCAGCCTCTGAGAGGCAGAATGCCCCACCTCTCTCTCTTTCTGGAGGGGGCACACTGGTCACAAATCGCGATGTGGGAGTGAGCCACCTCGGGTCTGGGATCCCAGCATCTGTCTTCCAACCCTCAGGGAGATTCAAGTGCTCACCTCTAGGAACCGATAAGCTACAGAGAATGCTTCTTTCACTACATAGTCGCCTATATCACAATTGAAGAAGGTTTCTACAATGACCCCAGGTTTCCATGACAACCACAATGAGCCTTCTCTCTCTGCTCTGTAACTAGGAATTCTCAGCCCAGCACTTCCTTCCTTTCTCTCAAAGCAGAACTCATACACCCTTGGTATCTTGGCCTCCAACCCGAAAATGTAAACCCATAAGGGAAACTGCCACCAGTCTGAAGGCAGAGCTTTGGTAAAGCTGTGAACAAAACATTTTCCGGGAGGCATGACCATGCTGTACTCACTAGACTACGGAGGTCTCCATGGAAATGTCATGGTTATAGATGAACAGTGGGGTTATGGTCATAGATGAACTCTTTTATCAATTCATTAACTATGCATACACGCCCTCATAACAGAAAATAATGTCTGGGACACCGTGTGTAGAAACAGAACCTGAAAATAAAACCTCAAAAGCTAAAAAGGGATATCTTGGAGATGCCGGGACTCGAACCCGGGGCCCCATACATGCAAAACATGTGCTCTACCGCTGAGCTACATCCCCAAGTCTGAAAGACCTCTAATTGTTTCATATATAAACTCACAGAGGATGAGGCAACATTCACAAGTTTGCACAGATCTACATCAGATCTTTGTGTATTATTGATGACTTCCCATTTACTGGTTTTGGAGATTTTAATGTCATTTCTTGTATGACAAAAAATCTATTTTCAATTGAAAATAATAATATTAATAATAAATAAAAATAATAAATAATAATATTAATGGCAAATAATCATATGCTCTTCAAAATATTGCAGACATACAATAAAGAATATTTTCAATTATTTGGGCTTATCAATTTTAACACAATTTTATACTGGAATTTTAGTTCAATTGACAGTATCAGGCCAAATTATTAATAGTATGTTACTCAATTAGTAATATGCTATCATATCTGAGAGCACCAAAGTTTTCGGCAACTTCTTGAACACAGCCCTATTCTCTGTTAAAACATGCCTTAGCTTTCAGGGCTTCAAAAACTGTTTTCAGAATTTTTGGCAGGCTAACCATCTTCTCTCACAACGTTCCACACACTATTTATCATTTCATATATTCCGGTGGGTAAGTGGAAAGGAGCTAGGCAGACTACTCATCACCAGCTGTCTTGAACTCTCCACAGACTCCTTAAGAAAACTGTACTAAGACCAAACTCGACTGCTGCTCGTCGGAGGATATGGCTCTGGCCTGGCTTGAAGCTGTCTGCACTAGATTTACACACATTTTCTCCCTCATCTTCATTACCTCCCTTAACAAATATTGATTCCAGAAAAAATCTGCAAATCCTCTTGCGGTTCTTAGTCTCACTATTCACTAAAGTGTAAAAAGACTATGGAAACATGAGTGCATTAATTATTTTTATGTTATTCTGTGTGTATGAGTATTGTGCCTTCTATATACATATACACATACCTATACATCATCTACATCTGCATATCTATCTAGCTATATATGTATGTATATATTCCTCTTCTGTGCCTGGTACTCGAATAAGTCAGAAGGAGGTGTCAGATCCCCGGGAACTGAGGTTCCACAGTGTCCAACTGCAAGCTTATTCTTAGGTCGGTGAGCCCATGAGCCACACATCTCTGAGAGGACTCCTCCTCACCAGAGGCTTTGCAGCTCCAGGGGTGGGAGTTGGGGTGGGGCGGGGCAGGTATTCCCAGCTGAGCTGAGGGCCTCAGGAGCCCCAGCCTGACTCCACTTCTTTCCTTGCTTTTGTTTTAATTCAGGTAGGAGAGACACACCAGACACACTCTCATACAAGAGACCGGTTGGGAGGGTTCAGGATATGGAGGGACAAAGAGGGGAGTGGCTTCTTCTGCTTCCAGGAGGGAGAAGACCCTGGGCCCTAAACAGACACAATCTTTGTAAAGGGTTTCTCAGGGGGCTGAGATTTCTAGGGAGAAGATTTCCAGTGTGAGGATTGGGGGCATTTTAAGTCCTGAGCTTGGGGGAGCTCAGCGATCTTTGGTTGTTCCTGCTCATGGATTGGTGGGTTTTCCTGCTCAGGGGATTTGTATTATTTGTTCAGACTTTTCACCTAAAATTAGCATAACCTGGAGCTGTTCCTGTTGAGAAGCTGTAGATAAACTTTGTGACATTTACAGAGGCTGGAATCTCTGTTATGTCAGTTAGGCAGGTCTGGGGGAGGGTCCTGGCTGCTGGAGCTCCTCAAGTGGTGCTGGTACCTCGCAGATTTTCTACCTTGAGGGTTTACAAAGTTTACAAAGTATACAATATTTACAATGGGAGTCCACAGCAGGGAACGCCTTCCCTGCACTTGAGTGGCACATACAGCTAACCAGTCCCCTTTCAATAGCCAAGAGTTCCCCTTTTCTAAAACCTATTGTTACTCTAGGAACCTGTGAAGTTGAATATAAATCTTATTTGTTTTCCTTTACATTTATGCTTCTATGAATTTTGGAAACTGAACATATAAATACTTGAAGAAGGATGAATATGATGGGAAAATTAAGTATGAATTTAATCTTATATTTGAATGGCTTCATGTGGCTATCCAATGCTACATACATCCAATGTGTACTACATAGCATCGGGTCTAGACATTTTTAAATAACTTAACCCCTTCACTTAGTAATACATCGAAGATCATTTACAGTAAAAAAGGAGACATTCTGCTTTATTATACCTGTGTTCTAGTAGAAGATGCAGACCTAACTTGAGTTATTCATTCCCACACTGGTGAACATCTGTATTATTTTTAGTCTTGTTCTGTTATGATTCATTTTACAAGGAAAGACTTTATACTTATTGATGCCTTTTGATATCTGTGCATTGTGCCTTTGAGAGAGAAACTTAGAAGAAGAGCGGCTGGTTCACAAAGAAAAAATCCTCTATCTCTTAATGACAAGATTTGAATCAGAGACTCCAGAATACAGCAGTGAGATGGAAATGGTGGGGTGTGGGGTGGAGGAAATGGCTCCCTGGGTAAAGTACTTGCCAGAAAAGCATGAAGACCAGAGATCAGATCTCCTGAATTCATTTAAAGTTGTCTGAGACAGTGCAGACCTGTAATCCCAGAGCTCCTCCAACCAGACAAGCTGTGGTAACAAAACAATTCCCAGGAGCTCAGGAGACTGCTAGCTTAGCATGTGCAGTAGCTAACAGGACTCAGTCCCAACAAGGTGAAAGTTGAGGACCACACTGGAGTAGTGGGTGCTTCCAGTCTAATGCTTTTGATTCCCTGTGACTTCTGTTTTCTTATTTTCTTGCTGGTATGGTATGGGTGAAGAGATTTCTTCCTGATCCTCAGTAATAACAAATATCACAGGGAGTAAAGAATAACAATGTAGCAGACAAGGGAGTGATCAAGCCTGCCTTCTACTTCTCATAGCCCTGCACAGACCGCAGGACCCTGTGTGAGTACTTCTAATTTGATGGTCTCAGACCTAGCACAAATAGGGCACTCAGTATGGAAACAATGGAAGCACCCATGCAAATATGTGTGTCCCCATAGCGTGCATACATACACATGAAAACCCCACACCCATCTATGAGCAAGAATGGAAAAGTGGATCATATTTTATACATTGATTTTTAATCAGAAGGTGTTAATGTACTCAGCATAACAGTGTCTATGAAAGCAAAAGCAGAAACAACAGAAAAGCAGAATATTTACACTCTATAGGAAAATACTCAAATGGGACATATGAATTACATTTGCATATGCACACATTCAACAGAATGAGAGGTCATAATGCTAATGTCAGGGATCATAAGAATGCTAACTATTAATATGCATCATTTTGCTCATGATAATAATAGGCTGTACTTCCTGACTAGTTTCCTACAATACTCCTGTACTCTAGGACTGTCCCTTCGCCAAGACTTTCAAAGGCAAAAAAGCTGGCCACACTGACACAGGCAACTGTAACCCTCTGCTGTGGAGATGGATTTCAGGTGAGACCTGCTGCCTTCCAGCCTAATTACAAGTTTAGTGACAGAACTTTTCCCAAGTAAATAAATCAGAAAGTGATGGAGTATGTCACCCAATGTCCTCTTGTGGCCTTCACATAAATGTAAACGTGCACATGCACCACACACATACAGACAGACACAAAAACACATAGTCTCTCACACACATGCAAACACAGGCACATGCACAGGCACCCACAGGTGCACACACACAAAAAGAAAGCATAAACTGCCTTAAATAGAATGTTTCTGGTTTTACCTGTAAAAATGATAAGCATGAAAGATTAATTGTAAAAGAGACCACAAACACCAGGTTGCTATTGAAAGTCACCCAGGAACATAGCGCAATGCTGATGATTGACAGAGAATCAAAGTGTCTGACAGGGAGGGATCTATGTAGTCATACCATAGTCATCTGGAGAGGAGTTGAAATATGTCAGAAACGCGCCTGAGGGCCACCGAATTCAACCCCTGTATGAATACTATATTCTCTACAAAATCCTCTGTATATACATTTTGAACTCCTCACTTTACACTGAGTGGAGATGAAGGGAATTGTTGAGCACTAGATTTGTGGTAACCCATGGATGGAACTGCTCTAATATACCGGTGAAGCTTCCCAACACACTAGAAATACATTAACTTGGGGATATTTGCTCCTCTGTAAGACATCAGCCCCTGTCAGGAAAATGTAAGCATATAGCTTTTCTGCCACCCTGTGGCTACCATGAGAACTGCATCAGTGCAAATCAGGTCTGATGTACTGTATGGTGGGGAGGGGAAGAACATAGGCTGGAGTATATTCTCATGGCGTATACAACTTCATATCTTAGGCATATCTAATGTAAACCCGATATTGTAACCCAATCCCGGTCTAAGGTGAATATAAAGAATAGACATGATGAAGCTATAGAAGCTAGTATGACAGCACATACATACAGGTACACACAGAGCACACACCTCATTCATTTACTCCATGAAACTGAGCACAATCAATACTGACACTATGTGCAGAAGATATATACATGTACATCTTCTATCAATAGTGTGTGTGTGTGTGTTTGTGTGTGTGTGTGTGCGCGTGTGTGCTTGCATGTCCCCAGCTTTCCCAAAGATAAGCAAAAGGGGGCTGCATGCTGCTGTTCTACTATCTGAGGCTGGCTGTGCAGAATCAATGGTTTTAACCATACAGAAAAATAGGAAAAAATATTTGACAAAATGATCAGTCACATATTTAAGCAGAGTAATGATGACTGATATGCAGAGGAAATGTAAAATTTAGTACAGTTTGTAGAGATCAAAATGATGAGAAAGGAGGAACTGGGTTCCCTTTGTACTAAACTGTGAGTGTGGGTCCACTACCATAGTGCTAAAAGTTCCTGGGAGTATGTGAGAAAAATAAAGGGATCGCAGACCTATCTGAGACCTGGGATTATGTTCTGAGAGACTGAAAGAGATGTGTTTCCCTGAGCCAGCAGGCCCTGGAACTAATTTCCAACACCAGGCAGGGCATATTTGGTAGGATAAGACAGAGGAAGACTCTTCTCAGAGCCAAGCTTCTCACTC